GACGATGAGGTCAAACCATCTGCTGTCACTGCTCAGACCCCTGTTGCTACTGAAGATCTTGCAAAGTCAACAGTGTCTCCAGTACCAGACGATGAGGTCAAACTGCCTGCTGTCACTCCTCAGTCCCCTGTTGGTACTGAAGATCTTGCAAAATCAACAATGTCTCCAGAACCAGAAAATATTGCCTCTCAGACCACTGCTCACAATGGAGTCCCGTCATCGGTTTCTGTAGGTGTGCATGTGATCTCGCCTACAGAAGGAATCAAAGACATGTTCACGCTAACGCACACATCGGTACACACCTCTTTACCAGAACCCTCTGAAAGACCTGAGAGGCTAAGCTTTGCTTCAGCAGTTCCAGCAGACATCCCTGTTCCCAGCACTTCGTCAGGAACTGTCACAATCCAAAGCACCGTTCCCTCAAAACATCCCAGTGACTCAGTAGGTACGAACATCTATTCATTTCCCCCATCCTGTGTTTTCATGTTTTTTCTGAATTGCAGGCAGATTGTATCAGTACTCTCTGAACCTAGCCTTTAGACATCTGCGCTCAGTTGTGGAAAAACATAGTTCAGGATGACTAGGATCTAAAAAAATGGCCAACACCCCTTTACAAAGAGACATTATGTCATCGTACCCTACTCATGTTTAATTAATCAGATTCTGAAAAAAAGCTCATTAGCCTAAAAGAAGACATCTACTTTTTACTCTTCTTTCTGTTGCTCACGATTTACACTGCTTATCCTCATTCTAGGTGAAAATAATGATACCAACATCTGCAGCGGCCGTCCAGCTAATGCACTGACGACTCTACAAAATGGAACAATGATTGTTTTCCGGGGTAAGTGGTAATCAATCTTTCAGCATCTATATTTAGTGGACTGTAAGGACTGAGTAAATCAGGTGTTCTTGTGGCAAACGTTTTGAAATGAAATTTATTACGTTAAAAATTCCTCCACACGTCATCATTGAGTGCCTGAGTAGGATTGAGCTTAGACTGTCTTGTATCTATCAAAAAACATTTTTTTGAGAGGCTACAAGTTAATGACTCATTATATGGGTTCAAGAAAATCTTCAAAAAATACAGAAATTTTCATCAGTGAAATGAAGATCTAAACAATGTCAAATGTCAAAATCCAACTTACTGTACATCAAAGTTTTTTGTGACGATCATTTAAATATCCATTTTAAAATCTAAAACAACTTATAACATGGTAAAAAGCTGATGGCTGCCTTTGTAAATTTATGTAATGATGCTAAAGCTCTAGTTTGTTATTTCACAAAATATATAAAAATATACTTTAAAGATTTTTTCTCACAGGACCTGATACAGCAGAATGTTTCTGGCCATTTCATTGTGTAAGTAATAGGCAGATGGAAGCCCTGTGTCAACTGAATCTCCTGTGTTTTTCACGATTTGCTGACATTTGGTGTCTACATGCTATTAGGACATTTTTTCTGGACATTCGGCTCCAACGGAGCTCTAGGACACCCTCGCAGGATAACAGAAGAGTGGGGAATTCCTTCTCCCATAGATACGGTCTTCACTCGCTGTAACTGCCAAGGGAAAACTTTCATTTTCAAGGTACAGTACACTTTTTAAACCTTAAAAATGTAGGAATACTTCAATCTGGCAATAGAATTGCCATTGAATGATAAATTGGCTCCACTCGATGTCTCTTGGACATTCATAAGTAAATGGAGATCAAGTTGCACTCAGGACATTAATTTAAACTATAAACCTGCCCTGTCTGATCATGAAAGATGGCGAGGAATTTCCAATCCTCAAATGCAGCAGCCGTTCTGTTGTTATTTGTTATATAAAACCCAAGCTTTGTCCTCCTTAGTCCTTTAGTACAGGAGTCCCCGGCTCCTGGCCTTGGGGACTCACACTCCTACTAGATTTCATTCCAGACAGCATAATTTAATTTTGAATTGTTTGAAATCCTATTCAGTTCCTAAACATGTCTCGAAATTCACTGTGTCTCAGAAAAAAAACAAATTGAACAATCTCCAAAACCTCAACTAGGATTCAATGAAGGAAGGAGCTTGACTGGCAGAACTATGAGTTTCCAGGCCCAGGGCTGGGAATACAAGCTTTAGAATACCATTTATTCTACCTCTGACAAGGCTCAAAGGCCATTCAGCTCCATTAGCAAGGAGGCATATCAAGCTCCCACACCAGTGGAAAAAAATTATACACTGTTTCGCTAATTTTATGTTTAATTGTGGTGATATGGAAAGGGTGAGAGTGATAATTTCAGAACTAAGGCTATAAAGAAATTCCTTTTGGTTTTAGTCATAGGTCAATACAAATGCAGGACACACATTTATCCCATTTTTTTATTCAACCAAGGCAAACGAATACTGGAGATTTGACAATGGGGTGATGGACAGGGGGTACCCCAAACTGATCTCCAAAGGGTTTGGAGGAATGTCAGGACGAATAACTGCTGCTCTGTCTGTGCCTGCTTTTGGAAAACGAAGGGAAGCCGTTTATTTCTTCAAACGAGGTAGTGTCCTTTACTTTGGAAGCCCTGCGTTTGCTAGATTCTTTTCTGTCAATCTTCTGTTCAACGGAATGCTCATTCCTTTCTGTCGCAATTTTAGGAGGCTTGGTGCAAAAATATTCCTACAAACAAGAACCTTCCCAGTCTTGTGGCAAACCCCAAACCCAGTACCGCATCTACAGCCTCCACAGCAGGATAACTAGACAAGCAGGTAAAAAAAAAAAACAGGCACGAACTGCCATTCCATCACTTCAATCACAGATCACTCATAAAAATGAGTTGCCTACTTCCATCAGTCCATCCATTTTCTAACCACCTTTTCCAATTCATGGGAGCCAGGGCCTATCCTGGCAAGCAACAGGCGGAAGGCAGGGTGCACTCTGGATGGGACGCAAACCCATCGCAGGGCAGACAGACACACTCACTCCAGGGCCAGTTTTCCCAGAAGCCAATGAACCTACCAGTACCTGTTTGGACTGTGGGAGGAAACTCACACATACATTGGGAGAAAATACAAACTCCACACAGACTGCACTCCAGGTCTGGGATTGAACCCAAGGCCCCGGGGCTGTATGGCAGCAATGCCAACCACTATACCAAAATACCACCTGGGCATTTAAATTGCTGCTTTAAATTTCTGCATATTTATAAGGTGCCCTTCTCTAAAGTGGGAAATAATTCAAGATATGATACAGAGCCTCCCAAATCTAGTCATATCCCTGATGAAATCTGAGCAAAAAAGATTGCATAACACTGTTAGAGATTGGATAATTTTATCTTAAAAAAATTCTAGAAATCTTGTAATTGTAAATAGCATTGCACAGAGCAATATTTGCCATAACTTTTGTACTATCAAGTCCTGAAACAAAGGGTTAATCCTTGAAATTCTTTACTTTTTGTTCCATTACCCAAAGAGGTAAATTTTAAGTGAAAAGATCAGCACATTGCAAGCTAATACGCCTGGGAGCTTATAGAGGGACTGTAGATCTGAGGCAAAAAACGCAGCTATAAAGTGGTTGGAAGTTAGAATTTCTCCTTGTTGAAACATTGATGACTTTAATAGAAATAAACTTTTTTTTTCAATCTTAGGTCCAGTATATCTTGGAAAAGAAATCAACATTAAACTGACATGGAAAGGTTTTCCTACATCAGTTACTTCAGCTATATCTCTACCCAACTCCAAGAAACCAGATGGATATGATTATTTTGTATTTTCAAGGGGTAAGTGCCAAAAGGGGTTTAAATACCCATAGAATGAGAATTTGCATCTATGTGCTTAATTATTAAACCTGTTATTTAGAAATGTTATTTAATTCCCTAATGACCTAACAATAATGCGTTGCAGGTGTGCACTGAACCTACTCGTAAGAACAGTTCTTCAGTGACTGTCAGACACTGTTTTGACAGGCAAGGCACAGTGATCCAACTGTCTAGTCATTCTGTCACTAAAACAACAAGACATTACAAAACTTTTTACACAAGTACATATTCTTAACTTTATGCTTCAAAAGTCCACGAGCCAGATACAGTATGTTTATTTGGTTTTGTCTCATCTTATTTTCAGTAGTTTTAAAACTTAACATCCATTACAATTCCTACAAGTGAACTGACATATACAGTAATACGAGGCAAAAGTATTCACCCTCTTTCAATATTGGCTCATTATATTGAAATTGTATATAATGATATTGTATAAAATGTGTATACACATTTGAATGTGGATATTTTTCATCTAAGTTTGAACGTTCCAACTGAGCAACAAAAATTGCAAACCTAAATTAGTTGAGGTGCAAAAAAATTTATTCGACAAGCTGTTAAATATGACTCGATGTGCAATAATTGTGGCCCCGTGATTTCAGAACACATACACATCTCTGTGAGGCCTCCAAGTCTGCAAATGTCCAAGCAAAGATTCAATCATGAAAACTCAGTTCAAAATAACTGAGAAGTTGTATAAGGGTGCAGATCAGGGGAATGGTATAAAAAAAATACTGCACAAGCTAGACTCTTCCTCTAACCTGAGCAGCCGGGCATGGAGAAAACAAATTAGTGACGCCACTCCGAGGCCGATAGTGTCTTTGAAAGGGCTACAGAATTCAAAGACTGAAATGGAAGAAAACATCCAAAAGCCCAAAATATCCCATCATCTCATTTGACAAGCCCTTTTCCAATCACACATGGCACTTAAGTGATACTGCAAACGTGGCAAAAGAACGTAAGGGCAGAGTGGACAAAACTAGAACTTTTCTTGTGAAAACGCATTATTTCTGGCAGACACCCAGCATAGAACAATACCCAGCCAACACCAGCCCTGCTGTCAAGGATAGTGTTGGAAGCGATTTATTACAGGGTTGAATTTCATCAGCAGGGACTACCAAAGCTTGTCAAACTTGTAGCAGGTCTGCCTGAACTAAATTGAGAGGAAAATTCATATTCTGGCATCATAACCTAAAGCAAAAGCTATACTGGAGTGGCTTAAGTTATATTCGTTGAGTGTCCCAAAGTGAATCCGTTAGAAAATCTGCAACAGCCACTTGACTGAGCTTGAGCTCAGAACAGGTGAAAACACCATCCAGGTGTGCAAAATTGGTAAGTTATCAAAAGCAAGACTTGAAATTGTTGCTTCCACCAAGCACTTACTAAGCAGTGAATGTTTTTTTTTGCAGTTTTTGCACATCAACCCCTTTTCCCATAATATTAGATCCCCATGCATATAAAAGACAAAATGGGACATCATTAAAAGGAAGTGAATATTTATGCACCTACCCAATTTACAAAAATTTAAAGTCTTACCAGTGGTCATTTCAATCATCAATAATACCAGAACACAATACAGATTTTTTTCCTAAATAAGGAAAAAGGTTAAATAACCAGTAATACTTTTCTTACATTTGTTTCACAGCCAAGTACTACAACATTATAATTAACAGCGACCAGCCAGCTGTGACTCCTCTGCTGAAGTCTGTGACCCACAAGGACACTGCTAAGGACTGGTACCACTGTCCATAGAGGCTCCGGAAGCAAGACATCGGAAGGCTGGTTTTTGATTTGTCAATTTTATTAATAAAAAAAAAGAACATTGCTTTATATAATGATCACTCACAAAATTTAGAAGTACAAAACAATGCTTTAAGCACGTCTAAGCAGATTTCCACAAACAAACGATGACTGCGATTTCAGGTACTGCTGACAGCGGCGATACAAAGCAGTCAACTCATGTTTCCTCTGGTGAACCGGCCTCTTCCACTCATTGCATGGCTTACACCTACAGGACACAAACAGCAAACAGAACAAAGTCACTTATACAGCTCAATATCTATTTCTAAATGCTGCAAGAGTAAGCCCTACCAAGGGACTGATGTACAGCCGACTTAAAAGCTGTTCATCTTTCTAAAATAAATTGCTTCAAAAGGTATCAAAACGCTGCATGGTCAAAAACTGCCCTTTTTAATGTTTAGCTTTTTTAACCTTCATTAAACTTTAAAGCTATTTCTCCTTTCTTGTTTGACCTGAATTTTTAGAACCTGAGAGATTTCCACATTTATGCTGGTATTTAGCTGATGGGAGTTTCACCCCCCCAGAAAAGCTGACTCGGTAGCTGGTCACATCAGTGCGATTTGAAATGAGGCACAAGACCAAGCCCCACTGCTGACCTCTTTGTCGAGTTATCTGGCGCCCTCGTGTCTCTGTCCGTATGGACTGAGGTTGTCGGTTCACCAGCCTGAACGGTTTCGGCTGCGCGCTGCTCGTGTCTGCTGAGGAAAAGGAGAAAGGCGGCTCTTTAAATGCTATTTCAGATGCTAAGCGTCAGGTTTACACTCTGACATGGTACCAAATCACCACATGCTGCCCCACTCCAGTAAAAACAGCTCAAAAGTCATTCACACAACATCAGATTGAGCATTGAATACAGGGAAATAATGTTAATCTGCCCTGTATGAAAACTCTCCAGGGGAGCATAGGACAGTAATTCAATCTTTAGTGAAACCAGCAGATAGAGAAAAACGAAACACGTCAAAGTCTGGCTTTAGCCGAGAATTGTTCACAATGTGAGAAACTGCTGTGCCTACCGTACAGAGATGTGCTGACATACCTGCTGTGGAGGAGCTGGAGGGTGGGTCCTGGCTGGTGGAGGGGAGGCTGGCCTCATCAGATGGCTGGGCAGACTCCTCTAACTCAGGCTGGCTCTCCGACTCCAGGGAGGCCTCGGCACTGGCCCTTTTCAAGAAAGCGGAGTGTTTCAAAGAGACAGTCGAGATCTGCCACCGCCTGGGATATAGTATGTGCCTACTCGCCTCCCCATCAAAACGATTATTCTAATGCAGAACTATTTCCAGGTCAGAAGAACATGAAGACAAGTCAGATTTGCATTTATTTAGGCAGAAAGGGAAAACCACCACCTTCAAAACTCCCTGCTTAACAGCACATATAAAGAAAAAAATGTCATTAAAAGAGAAGGCGAAATCAAAATGAAGAGCTTAGTACCTACCCTTCATTTTCTGCTTCCATGAAGACTTCATCGCCATCGTCCCCCTGGCCAGGCTCTCCAGGGGTGGACAAGCCTCCTGTAGACGTGGTTACCATGGGTACAGACTGGGAGGCGTTCTCCGATACATCTGAGGTGTGCGTCTCAGTGAAGACTGTAACTGACAAAACAGCCACACACAGGATCTTAAATATCACTGCAGGCCAATAAGGCAATGCTGTGCTATGCAACTCTTGCATATAAAACTACAGACTCTACAAAGAAAAAAGATTCGGATGCAATTAACAGCTGAAATGTAAATGGCACAAAATGGAAATTTCAGGGATAAAAAAAACAATCTACTTGACAAAATCTTAATTGCATGTGAAGTATTTCAAAATCAAGACACCTACATTTTTAAGAATGCTTTGTGCTGCTACAAAGTAAACAGAACCCAGGCTGCTAAATGCCTTATATGTCACAATACTCAAAGCAACTAAATGTTTTAAAACCGAGTGAAAACCTGTGAATTGAAGTTCCTTAGTGACGGGGAATGCAGCTTTCACGCACAACGACAGACACGTGAGTAGACCCTGATTCAATGGCGAGATCTTATAAATTGTGAATCCTACTACATGATACTTCAATCACAATCCGTAACACTGCACTAGGACCACATTTCTGCAGAATTACCGCAAATGGCAACTCAGCAAGTTCCAGAATCTCAGAAATGCCCATTTGCTTCATGGAATGCACAAGTTAGGTTGTTACCCCACTTGTTATAGGCATACTTGCGAGGTTCAGAGCTATCAGACAGAAGTGAAGCTCCATCTAGGGTCCCTTCAGATAACTTAGAATATCAAACTCGCAAAAAACACAGTTTTCAGTCAGAACGCTCACAGTGGTCAGTGAACATGGTTGGGTCAAGACCGAGCCCTTACCTGGAGCCGCTACCTGCAGTGGAGTGGTAGGAACGCTGCGCCCTCCAGACTCCTCCTCGTGTGCTGCAAGGAACAGGGGAGTTTCGTACATTCCTAGACCTACAGAGTGGATTGTGTTTATAAAAGTGACACTTCTTTAACTTGGAACTCTTAACGTGTAAAATAAAATACAGGCGTTGATAAAAAACATAACACTGCATACCTAACAACTACTCTTCCGAGACCGATTAACGCTTGTGCTTAATCGATTACTTTAAAAACCTTTTGGCTACACGTTTAACGTTTACAAGTTCTCACTGCCACAAATGGTTCCTCACAGACAAACCTTCCTTCAAAGAAGGCCAGTTAACAGACTTCCAATGGCTCAATGTGTCACATGTACCTCCTTGGGAAGCCAGCTGTCCAAGGTCAGAGTGGCTGGAGCTGCTCTGTGGCATGTCTTCAGGAGGGCCGAACCTAAACCGGGGAACACCAGCAACCTGAGGAGAGCTGAGCACAATTCAAACAGTGATCAGCATAAGCCAATGCACACAACAGCCAAGACCAAAGCACTGAGGTCAGTCAGCTGTGCTAACATACACTATGTTCCAGGGTCTCCAAACCTTGATCTTGGGAGCCTTGGTCAGTATCTGGATGGGTGACCTCCTGGGAAAAACTAAGGTTGCTGCTGGAAGAGGTGTTAGTGGGGCCAGCAGAATGTGCTCACCCTGCTGTCCACGTGGGTCCTAATGCCCCAGTATAGTGACGGGGACACTATACTGTAAACAGGCGCTATCCTTCGGATGAGATGTTAAACCGAGGTCCTCTCTGTGGTCATTAAAAATCCCAGGGCGTTTCTCGAAAAGAGTAGGGGTGTAAAATTTTAGGGGTCAAATTTCCCATTGGCCCTTACCAATCATGGCCTCCTAATAATCTCCATCTATGAATTGGCTTCATTACTCTGCTCTCCTCCCCACTGATAGCTGATGTGTGGGGAGCGTTCTGGCGCACTATGGCTGCTGTCGCATCATCCAGGTGGATGCTGCACACTGGTGGTGGTGGAGGAGAGTCCCTGTTACCTGTAAAGTACTTTGAGTGGAGTGTCCAGAAAAAGCGCTACATAAGCGTAAGAAATTCTTAATTATTATTATTGATCCAGTCAGCGATTCATAATCCTAGCAGTGGGTGACGGCTATTTGACTCAGGCTTCTTTTACCCAGTGGAAATCTGCCATCCAGGACTGACTGTGCAAACTGGCTGAGCTGAAGCCCTGAATCTTTCCAGGTCTTAATCAAAGAGCGCATTTAAAACTCTACAAGGCTCATTATGGGTTATCAAGATTCATGTGTGCCACATCAAATTCAGGATTTCAATAACAATGCAGGATCGCCGACAGATTCCATTCTCATTAAAGGTCACGGATGGTTTCTGACACAGGAAAAGAAAACTAACAGCCTGCTAGTTTTGGGCAATTAAAAGGCTACTCACTGAATAGCTTCAGCAAATCCATCTGTACGATGAGGCACGACCAGTGTTGGGGTGCTGGGCACCATCCTATCATCATCATCGAAAAAGTGTTGCTGTGCGGGGGTGTGAAGAAAATAAAAATGAGATAAACAACAGTGATCAAACCGGTTTTATTAACAAAAACAGATGGGCCCAGATAAGAGAGAAATCCACAGAGCACAAACTCACCATGCTGCCTATGCCAGGTGTCAGCTGAAGCCCTCTCCCTACAGACTGGCGGCGGATAGGAATGCGCTGTTTTGCACAAAGAACACCAGTCAGCACTGCGCTCCTCATTAAAACAAACTCTAATGCTTACAGATCCAACAGACAAGCATCCACACATTAATACATATTCATTCATATCTCAGCAAGGGTTGCCACAAAAGATGTTAGTGCAAATCAACTTTCATGCAGGTTTAAGTTGCCTGCTGCTTTAGTTTCATCCTTCACTCCAACACGCGGGTCGGAAACCTCTTCTCATTCGAGGACAAAGAGGAGAGTGCTTATTTAATGGGGTCCGAGTGAGCTGGCGGGGAGGGCGATGAGTACCTGTGCAGGTGGTCCCAGCTCCTGTGCTGGAGCCTGGATGGTCAGCCTGGGGGGTAGCGGGTGTGGGGGTCTCCGCGGCGACTGCGGTGGGCGGGGGCCCTGGCGCTCCGCAGTAGAGGCAGCTGGCTGCGGCTGCTCTCGGGGGGGCTCGCTGGAGAAGGTGGACTCCGTGGTGCTGCTGCTCCCTTCACCTGACACGCGAGAGCGAAGAGCCAAGTCAGACCGAACGCGCAGTGCCTGGACCTCACTAAGAGCCTGCCCGACAGACAGGCGAGGTCCTGGAGGCCGCTGAAGAAAAGAGATCCGAGCGGTTCGAGACAGCTGACATCTTACCGCTGTTCTGAGTGTCGGCTGCTCTCTGGTTGGTATCGCCTGCTCCTAAACTCTCTTCCGTCTCAGTTCCAGGATCAGTCGCTTCAGCTCCCTGTTGGGTAAAACTCCGATGCAACATCTTACAAGCATAGTGCGAGAATTAAAACATTCTTCCATCAAATAAAAGAGCCTCACTCCCACAAGTGTGTGTCATTAAATGTTCTCTGTAAAATAATTCCCGACGCCAATGAAATTGGAACACTAGAACAAGTCAAGGTAAGTCGCAAAGCTAAAACATTTTACTTTTCAGCAAGGAATTGACCTCTACTCGATCCTTTGCAGCAAGTCCACACGTTTTCCTTTTTGAGAAATCGAGTGGTCTAGCAGTCGGATAAAAAAAAAACGTCCTATTCGGAATTTATTGAACAACCTTCAAAATGACATGACGACAGGAAAAAAAATAAAATTGACGTCTCTAATAAAATTCACTTCCAAATTGAAGTACACATTTGAAAAGGTCAAATATACGTTACTCAGGACAGAAACATGGTGGAGATATTATAAATGGGTTATGGACATATAGCTATAGTAGATCAGATTGCCTTATTACTGGTCAAAATCCTTTTGGGGATTTTTGAATATCTGAAAAGGCTGAGCTCACCTCAGTGTCATCTCCTTCGTAAGGCTCGTTGCCGTCTGCGCTCCCACTTCCCTCATTGCTGTCTTCGCCTTCATCCCCCATCCCCGTGTCATCATCTTCATCCTCATCCTCCTCCTCTTCCTCGTAGTCCTACAGAGATCAACAGCCTTTTAAATAACTCTGATCTGAAAATAAACTGCATGACTGGCTGGAATAAAAACAAGACCCTACAATTAAGACGCATTTAAGATCATTGTCAATTGCGGTCATCTGGGGCAATAAATCCCTTAATCCCTCACAAAGGAGAGATTGAGGAAGTGTAGGCAGATTCCTCCGACCTGTCCCTGACAATCATCTTTTAACACATCTCAGGCACCAGGGCTCTACAGCGGAGATCCAGGGCCGACTGGAGCTACTAAATACCAAATGGGTATTAACTTTTAGAATCAATCTTATGTTCTTAACTGAACAGACAGACGGGATTTTCTGCAAACTCGGTTACACACTAAATATTACTATTGACTAAACCACTATGACTAAAGTGGTTCTGGCTTTGAAAAAGAATCCGATATTTATAAATTTAGCAGACAAGAAAATCTGCAGAAAATGCTGTATATGTGGAATACAGCAGTGAACGATAAACTACAGGAACATTAATGCCATTGCACAGGAATAACGATTGAGATGGGCCACTGATCTCATACCAATACACACCTCCACAAATGGGCAAACAGTTCACTCTGCAGCAAATGTGGAGCTGGCTATGCAGTCTCCTCATTCATCCAGGAAGGTCTAATAACTGTGAGGGTGTACCTGCTCCCCCTCCTCCTCATTCTCCTCATCTTCGCTCTCGCTGTCGGTCGCAATCACAATGACTTCGTGCTGCTGCTCCTCGGGGGATTCCTGTGCAGTTTGGCTTTCCGCCGGCTGGTGCACCAGCTCCAATGGGACAGACATCCTATCACCGTCCTCTAACACGGGATAGCCTTCCTCCACGGTCACCTGCACAAACATTCAGCACACCGCCTTCACAAACGCGCTCGAGAAGAGCTGCTTCCATTTCAGGTAAATTTGTTTGGGGAAAAAGTACAGATTTTGGAACCAAGAGAACACGTAATTAACTGCTTTGCTGCCGCTATCTGAGAGGTAAGAAAAACTCAAGTCTATTTCAGATCAGGTCCTTTTGTAAAGCCAAGATGCTCAACGATGAGAAATGCATCAAAAGGTATCGCTTATCTCACCTGTTCAGGGTCCTGGGATTCCTGGATCTCTGTTGCAGCTTCTATTTCAACATCAGTACTTTCTTCTGCCACAACTTCCTCCTGAAAAGGTCCAGAGGAGTTGACTTACTGTCCTGGTCCTCAAAACAACATTAATCTCCCCCTGAGAGCATGCTCCATTTATACTACTTGCAGACTACTAATTGAGCATACAGCTCAACCAAGACATAATTCAGAAAAGGAAAGTGACATTTTGTAAGTAAAGGCTGGATTCTTCATCAGACGAGCCAGGTGGACCTCCTAAAAGATTAAGATATTAGTAGGTATGTCCCTAACCTCTGGTTCAACCCGTTGAATGATTCGCAGTTTCTTTGAAATTGGAGGATCTGCAGGGTCTTCTTGCATGCTCTCAGTGTTGTCAGGGGCACTCTCCTCCTCTTCCTCTCGGGGCCTCTTGGGTAAGGAAGTGCCAGGTGTAGCTGCAACTAAAAGAGGGATAATCATAATTCCTTTCAAACGTAAGAGCATCTATTTTTACACAATTGATTGTATTCTAGATTTAAGACAACAGAACTGCTGCTAATGTACATTACAAAAAGCCAATTCCCCCAGGCAAGAGGAAATGTACCCACTCAAGGTGGCCTTACAGGCAGTGGTTTACAAATTAAAAAAGTATTACTGCAAAAGCAAAACGTGACCGAACAACAAAGCACAAACCTGTTCCATAGACTGCTGTAGAGGTGGAAGGTCTCTCGATCGGGGCACTGGGCACAGCCTCCACCAAGGTAGGCGCTGGCTCCTGGCTGGCTGGTTCAAGAAGGGGCAGACTCTGCTGAGTGGGCTGCACAAAGGCAGTTGCCTGGGTCTGCTGCTGCTGCACATTGAGGAGGGGCTGGGACAGTGTGGTCTGGACATTTGGGCTTGTGGAGCGGACCGATCCGCTGGCACTACCAAACACCGTCACGTGCTCCACGGGTCCTTCAGAAGCCTGCATTGCTGAAATCAGAGCCACAGGATACCAGAGTTGGGTTTTCGTCTTCCACTAAATAAAGGCAGGCTTTGGACAAAGCTGATTTTTTTTTCCCCCCTCGCCTACCTTCCTGTGTCTCCACCTGGGTGGTTGGCATCACGGTGGCCGTGGGAGTGGTGGTCGGCGTCGTGACGGTCGCTGGCGTGATCATGGGACGGATGCTGGCTCTCGGTGTGGCCTTGTTTCCGGGGATGGCCGTGGTTTTGCTGGGTGTTGCAACAAGGGGGGTAGGCTTTATGTTGGCCGTGGGAGGCTCTGAAGTGCTAGCGCTATCATGGGAAGAACGTGTTTTTTCAGGGTTACAATTATACACAACTCGTAACCAGTATCTGTGCTGGTACAACCACTTGGCACTTAAACCAGACAGCAAAAAACATATATACAGACAACTGAAGGATTTCACCAAAAAAAGGTACATGGGTGAAAATATTTAGTTTCCAATTATTGGGAATTACAATCCTAACCCAAGGTTTATGACCCTAACCCAAATTTGTACAGAGGGGAATTTTAAAATCCTAACTACTCAATTAGCCACAACTTTTATTCTATTATGCAGAACTGAGTTTCCTATTAGAATCTTAATGCCAAAGATCTACCTCCCCCTTTCTGCTGCCGGCGTGGTCTTCAGGGTAATCTGCCTCTGTTCAGGTGGCCTCTGTGGCTCCTGAGACTGAAAAACAAAACACAAGACCCAAAAGGATCAGAGGCAGAACTCAAAACGTAAACCCCCACCCCAGCCCAAACTCCCAGCTGCGCTATTAAGAAGCGGCGTCGGCCGGGGCAGAGCACCTTGCAGGGCTGCTCCTGGGGCTCATCCCTCTGCTCGTTGTGCCTCTCCTGCTGCTCCCGCAGGTCCCGCAGCTCGCGCTCCTGCCGGCACAGACGCCCCTCGTACTGCGACTTCAGGGCGTTCATGCGCACCTCCAGCTCTTCCCTCTGCTGCTTCAGCTCCTCGCTCTCCTTCGCCAGCTGCTCCTTGGCACCTGCGCAGGGAGAGGACAGCGGTGGCAAAACGCCGAACGAGCCCCCCCCGAGACGTGCGTGCGGCGTGTCCCGCCTGACACGGGCTTAATTCATTCCTCGAAGACTGCTGGGAAAGCGAAACATGCGTACAACGGAAATTAAATCCCCCCCCCCGCCCCCGTGTTAAGATCTCAGATTGGTTCTGGAAATCCAAAACGTTTCCTCAAAACGTCCAAGCTTCACCTTAAGACAGCACAGAATGGTACCCAGGTATGAAAACAACAACATTCCTTGCTTTACTGGGCAGAGCCCAGCTAGTAAGAGGAAATCTGCTCCGTAAATGACAACACAGGTAGAAATAAACTACATCTTGTATAAGTGAAAACTCGTACAGTTGTAGTTTATAAAGTGAAGGATCATGGTATTACATTAAAAACATGACACCCTTTTACGAGAGCTTACTGACCAATAAGCTGGTTGATCTTTTGTTTGGCCCCCATGAAGGCCTTCTTTGTCTTCTCCTCTTTCTCGGCCATTTGCTGGCGCAGCTGCTCCTCCTGGGTGGATTTCTCCTGCAGGTTCTGCTCCAGCTTGGTCACCTGCTCCTGCAAACTCTTCCTCTCTGCCTCCTGCTCGCTTACCATCTAAAAACAGACCCAAGATTAAAAAAAATAAACACCTGGCACCAAGTAAAAGTGTAATGAATGAGCACTACATTGATTCCCCCCCGATATGATGGGTAAAATTCTGTTAAATTAATCAAAGATGTAGTTCTGTTTTTTTATTGCCAAATTACTTGTATGCACTTAAATGCAATAGACAACCAAAACCTGTATTGTCTGAAAAACAACATTTAAATTATATTAAAGCATAATGCATCGTTCAGACGTTATAAACTCAAAACACACCAACAAGCGTTCAAATCACTGTCAACAGTAATCAAGATATATTTTTTTATAAGGTCAACTTTTACCTTCCAGTGCTAACAGGCCTGGAATATGAAAACCATCACCACCAATAAAATTCCTGTGGTGTTCTTTCAGGAACCTCAATGGCAAACTAAAATCGCACGCCTTTTTACAAGCTTTAAAACTACGTTTCACTGCCTTGAAACCCTAGAGTAAAGCACTGAAATAGTAACAGGTTTTCAACAGTATAAATCTGCACTACACGCCATGTAGTGATCGTAATACAGAAGGAGAGTTGCAGACCTCTTGGCTTGCACCTTACTGCAGCCAGTTAAGGAATAAAAGGACTCATGGCAATGAATCCTGCGAAGTTTTAATTAAAACTTTTTACATTTTATTTCAAATAAAATTTCCAGAATGGCATTTTGAGTCGTGAGAACAAAGCAGTGGCCATCTTGGTAAAGACAAGAAAAGCAGATGTTACTTGGAGGTCAACTGCTTTTAAACAGTAGAAGTGTCACTACAAGTCAATACTCTTTGATTTGAAAGGGTTTTTGAGTGCCTGGGTCAGGTTACCATGTTGGCTGACTCTGTTATCCTAGCTTACCTGCTTTGTAAGCAACTACATGGCCTCCTGGCTTCCTAACATGACTTACTTTTCATATCAACCTTGCCCACACAAATGAGATCACAAAAAAGAAAACCTAAAATGTTGAAATAGAAATCTAATAAGTAAATTGATTCTTAAAATGGAGAGAGCTTTGCAAAAAATATATTGGTGCTTTTAGAAAATGTTTCAAGGATGTAACTGCTGTGCTACAGTACGTGCAGAATTTTAGAAAACAGTGCGTCAACAAAGTACACTGTTTAGGTTACTTTAGAAGACAATGTACCAAAACAACATATTCTGTCTAGGTCATTAGATTAGCTGAAAGTAACTGATAAGCTTTGAATAACAAATCTAGTGGTGCTTCTTCTTTCTTTTTATAATGTAATCTGT